CATCTGCTCTGTGGGAGAAAGATGGTAAATCTGTGTAAATTACTGCCTCTGAAAGCCCACTGGAGGGTCTGCTATGAGTCAGTTTCAATTTGACAGTATACAACAACAAAATATGTTCCAGCTGTATGAGTCACATATAGGCACATTTTCTTGGCCATACAGCTTTTATGAGTTCAGTAAGTTAGCAAATTATGGGATGTGATGTCAGAACATGTCATTTTATCTAATGATAGGATTCTGGTTTTTCTAGTAGAAAAAGTCAAACTAGCTTTCTAGTCAGTTTAAACATTGTCATTGTACCCCAAAACAAACCCATTGTCTTTGGGTAGATTATAGTTCATTGTGTTCATTGCGTTTCTGAGGTTTTACATTTTCCAGGAGGGAACTACCCATTTTAGCCTAAAGAAAAGCTTGTGATTTTCCACTTCTGATCTTACAGTTAGCAGTACAAGTGGAATTTTCAATCTGTTGTTCTTTTGTTCCCCTAGACGTTGTTTTTCCAGTTTTCTCTTTGCTGGTTTCTTAATTTCACATCATTAATTTGTTGTTGTTGTTATTATTAGGTGCCATTTAGTTTCCTGTGTCTCATAGTGACTCTATACACAACAGCTCTGAACTCTGTCCTATCTTGAGCCAATCTCACTCTCTGTAGCACACCTAACCCTATTACCCCAGTTACTGTATTAATCCATCTCATCCAGGGTTTCTTATCCTGTGCTGTCCCTCCACCCTTCAAAACATGATGTTCTTCTATAGGGACCGGCCCCTCCTGGCTACATGCTCAGTGTATGTGAGATGGAGTTTCAAAATTCTTGCCTCCAAGGAGCAGCTTGGTTTCACCCTCTCCAGAACAGACCTGTTTGTTTTCTTGGCAGTACATAATATGTTCAACACTCTTCTCCAGCACCACAGTTAAAGACATTAATCCTTTTTTAATCTTCCTTAGTCATTGTTCAGCTCTCTGATGAATAATAGCAAGTAATTGTGAAGATTATGGCTTGGATCAAGCACACCTTAGTCTGTAGACCGACATCATTCCTCTTCAGCTCTCTGGAGAAGTCTATGACAGCACATTTCCTAATGCAATGCATCATTTGATTTCTTGACTGCTGGAGTCAAGAGAGTTGATTGTGGAAATAAGCAAGCTGAAATTGTTAACAAGCACAACCTCTTCTCTATTTATCATGGTGCTGCCAATTTGCCCAGTGATGAGAATCTTTGTTTTCTTGATGTTAAGCTTCAGTCTGTATTGAAGACTGCAGTGTTTGAGCTTCTCCATCAAATACTTCAGGTTCTCCTCAGTTTCGGTAAGCAAGATTTTGTCATCTCCAGGTTCTTGATGAGTCTTCCTCCAATCCTGATGCCACATTCCGTCTCGTAAAATCCAGCCACTCAAATGATCCATTTCTTTCCTATAGAATGAAAAAGTATGGAGATAGGACACATTCCTGACACATGCAATGTTTCCCTGCTCTGTTCTAACTACTTCTACCAGGCTCAAATATAGGTTTTACATGAGCACAATTTAGTGTTCTGGAATTTCCATTCTTCTCCAGGTTAGCCAAAATTTGTTGTGATCCACACAGTCAAATGCCTTTGCATGGTCAAGGAAACATAGATAAACATTCTTCTGGTACTATTTGCTTTCAGCTAAGATATGTCTAACATTGACAATAAGGTCCCTAGTGTCATGACCTCTTCTAAACCCAGTTTGTGTATCTGGTAGTTCTCTGCTGATGTGCAATTCCAGTAACTTTTTTATTATCTTCAGCAGGATCTTGCTTATGTGTGATATTACTGATATTGTTCTATAATATCTATATTATGTCAGATTACCTTTTTTTGGAATGGGAATAAATATGGATCTTTTCCAGTCAGTTGACCAGGTTGATGTCCTCTAGATTTTTTTGTACATCCTGGTGCATCCAAGGCTGCATTTCTTTGTTGAAATATGTCAATTGATATGTCATCACTTACTGAGTGAGTCCTTAATTCTGGTCAATTCCTTTCTTCAAAGCAAAATGAACTTTCTCTTTCATCATCATTACCTCTTCATCATAGTTTGTTTCCGGAAATTCTTCTGTCCAGCTAATTCTTGTTGGTACAGTGTCTCTATGTACTCCTTCTATCTTTTTTTTTCTTCTTCCTGGATCATTCAGTATTCTCCCCATAACATCCTTATGTATTGCCATTCTAGGCTTTGTTTTTCAGTTCCTTCAGGCTAAGAAATGCCAAGAAAATTTCTCTCTCTCGATTTTCCAACTTCAGCTCTTTGCACATTTCATTATAATCATTTGCTTTGTCTTGTCAAGCTCTCCTTTGAAGTTTGTTCAGCTTCTTAACTTCTTGATTTCTTCCCTTTGTTTTGGCTATTTGCCTCTCCAATGCAATATTCATAGTCTCCTCTGACACCCACCTTGGTCTTTTCTTTCTCCTCTGTCCTCTGTCTTCTCTGACCTTTTGCATTCTTCATGGATACTAAGATACAGGGAGCTCTGGTGGTCTAGTGGCAAGAAGCTGTGCATCATCCCGAAGGCACATGTTCAATTTAAATTTCTCCCTGTAGGCCCATGATGTAACATAGTGTTCCTTGATTACCATGAAAGAAATAGATTGAGATGTGTATATATGTGT